ACCTGGTGGATGGTGCACAGCCAGAAGTGGGTGTCCTGGGGCAGACTTCCAAAAGACAGTGCCTCTGTGTGCTCTAAAATGCAGCATTTTTATGGGTAAAGCTTTCTCCTTTTGGCTTACTGGACCAGTGTGGTGTTCATTCTCTTCATGCCAAATTCTCCTGTGAGCTGCAGTTTGTATAGGGCCTCTTAGTTTGGTTGTTTCATAGGCACATAGTTTAGTTTTACTTATCTGGATCTTCTGTTCCATTCAGTGTTTCTCTGGCCTTAAGTTTGTTTTAAAGGGCAAAGGCAGTAGGAAAGCTTTGGGTGGATTGATTTCTCATCTCCTCTCTCTCTTTTTTTCTTTGAGAAAGAGATTTTTGCGATAGGGTGCATATGCTCACTGGAGAGACAGAGAGACAGAAAGTGAAAAATCACTCCCCAGAGAGGATGGCCATGCCGCAGTACCTTCTCCATTTTGGGGCATGCACACACACATGCCTGGCATGAGGTTCAAACTACCAGGTCCGGGACTCAAACCACAGTTGACTATGTGGGAGTCAAGTGATAAAACCATTACACCATCTGTTGGCCCCTCTTCTTCTCTCTTAAAAGATAGTCTGGTCTTAGAAGGGGTATTGCCCTTACCTTGGGAGAGGCTGAGCTCTGAGAGAAGGTGTATAGGGATTCTTAACCAAGGGTTCCTGGTTGCTCAGGATGATTTGCAGAAATCATGTCTATGAAGGAATCAGTGCATCTCACCTGGGAGGAAGGTCCATACTTCACAGATGCTCAGAAGAGTCCCCAACCCTAAAGGCATTTAGGAAACCTCAGGCATGACTCGATTGCCTGTTCTAGCTCAGCCCTGCTTTCATGTCAGCACTGGACAGGCCCTCCCACCCCACTGCCTCCACCTCCTCCTGTGCTCATGAGGTGGTCAGACACAGCTCCCATCTGACCCCTGGAACCTTGAGCACTGACTGAAGTTACTGGGGCTCCATATCTGCCTACAGACAAGGCTCACCCCTCCCCCACATCAGAGCAGAGGGCGCTTCATCCAGGGCTGCTCCCGAACCCCCCCAGTCACAGCTGCCATGGCAGGGCACCCATGTTCTGTACACAGAACAGAGTTGGACATCCCAGCAGCAGCCTCCCAGGTACATTTTTTTTTAATCTTTTTTTTTTTTTTTTTGAGAGGTTTTTGCTATAGGGCCTGTGCGCTCGCCAGAAAGACAGAGAGAGACAGAGAGACAGAAAGCAAGAAATCACTCCCCGAGGGGATGGCCACACCGCAATCCCTTCTCCTCCATTCTCCTCTCAAGATCTTGGGCACACACGCACACGCGCCCAGCATGAGTTTAAGCCACCAGGTCCGGGACTCGAACCGTGGTTGGCTATGTGGTAGTTCAGCGACATAGCCGTTACACTAACTGCCAGTCCCTTTTCATCTTTTTTTTTTTGAGAAGTGCTTACAGTATGTGGTGCATGAGGGCCAGAGTGAAGTCCCAGCCTTGACAGCTGTGAGATCGTGAGAAAGTTACATGACCTGTCTGCGAGATGGGAGCGTAAACTCATCGCAGGAAGATGTTGTGAGCCATGGACGATTGCCAAGTGTTTGGCATGGCATCAGGCTCAGAAGTATTCAGAAAATGGGAACCCTCAGAAATAAAAACTGATGTTGGCCTCACGACGTGAGGAATAGGCACTGGACATGAGAGTGCCTTATCAGCCTCTTTGGCAACTAGTCCTGCCTGCCTTCCATAGTGCTCGGCTGTCTTCTGAATGTTTGGGTTTCTGGACCTCTTTCTGCTTTTTCTTTTTCTTTTTCTTTTTTGAGAGAGAGACTTTTGCTATAGGGCTCATGCGCTTGAGAGAGAGAGAAAGAAAGTGAGACATTACCCTCCAGAGGGGATGGCCACACTGCAATCCCTTTTCTTCCATTTTCCTCTTGGGATTTTGGGCATGCATGGGCATGCACCTGGTGTGAGTTTCAAGCCACCAGGTCCAGGATGTGAACTCCAGTCAACCACATGGGAGTCCAGCACCTTAACCCCTGTGCCACCTGCTGGCCCTGTTTCTGCCTTTTTGTTTTTAAAGTTTATTTCTTCTATGAGTGAGTGAGAGAGACAGAGAATCAATACCCCTCCCAGCATCTCCATGCCTCAGTCCACCCCAGCCTCAGCCATCCACGATCACAGGCATTTGTCGTGCCTGGCAGCCAGAGCATCGTGCACTGCCGAGCCACCCTCTGGTCCTCTGCTGTCCTTCCATTGCTGTCACAGTCAGGCACTGGCCAAATCCTAGTCGACTCGCTCCCTCACCTAAGTGGCCACCGACTTCCCCTCTGGACTCAGCCCTGAACCTGATGTAGTGAACAAGAAAGTCAGCACCCCCGTTCTCTGGGAGTTTAGGTCAAAAGCTGGCAACGAACAGCCAACGGAAACACAGAGGCAGCTTGTCTGTGACTTTCAGACTCTGCTGAGACAAGGCATGCATCCCGCTGCTGCAGAGCCGCGGGAGAGCACAGAGACTCTCTCTGCCTACAGCGTCAACAGGCCCGTGTAGCCAGCGCTGCCTGCAGGGTTGCATCATAGCAGGGAGAAGCTGGTCGTGCCTGTTTCTCCTGGAAATTCTCTTTAAGCAGAAGCTTTTGATAGGTAGCCAGCCTGGGAAGTGGGCATAAATTGGGCAGGCATGTCCTGCTGGTGAGCCGCACTGTGCACCTTCGATTTTGTTACCTGCTGTTCTTGGACAGTAAGAAATGTTAAACTTCTGTGTCCGCAGAGCTTGGTTCTTATGGGAGAGACAGAACACACTGGAGCAGTCTGTCCTTTGGACTGTGGGTCTTGGGAAGTACAGAAATGCGTGGACGTTTCCTCTTTTCTGTCCTCAGGCCTTGTCTTCCCTGGGCCTGTCCAGCCTGGCTGGGTGCTGGCTGTCACCTGTCAAGTTCTAAATCAGCTGCCTGGATGCAAGCCTGAGATTTGCAGTCTCTGAGCCACATGGTCCACGTGGTCTCACATCCTCGGACTTGCAGAGAGCAGATTTTGAACACTCTGGTGAACATTGGAGAGTGCACAGAATAAACCCCAGCTGGGAGCTCCCCAGCCAGTGTGAGAATTATCAGCCGTCACCCAGAGACTCAGGATGTGTGTGATGGTTTGAAGCTAAAACTGTTTGGAATTGTGACTGAAGATCTTAGAAATGTCAGAAATGCATTTCATTTTATTAATAGTTTCTGCCGGGGCACACCCAGCTTCTTTAACCTGGAGGGAGTGTGGGAGGGTGAGCTGGGTGATCTTTCCCCGGCTGCTCTGCTTCATGCTGAAGAGCTGAGGAGGGGAAACAGATCACCACGGCTGCCAGAGGCCATGCCCTGGGTGTGCCGGGAGAACTAGGTGAGAGCCCAGGTCCTATGGCTTCCTTAGACTTGTGCGGAAACCCTGTCCTTTGTGAGTGGCGCATGCACTCTCGAGCCTCAGCTGGACTCCACTGCTCAACTCTCATTCCGAAGAACTCACAGTTCTAAAGAACGGTGCTCAGCACTCCGGAAGGGCATCACTGCTTCATCATGTCAGTGGCCTTTCCCACCGAGTGAAGCCAGCTTTGTCACCGGTTCTTCTCCAGGCTGAGCTGCTCGTGGGTAGAGAAGCCAGGCCTTTCCTGCCGTGTTTCTGGGCTGCCAGAAAGGCAGGGGTTGGGGTGGGCGCAGGATTGTGGTGTAACACTGTACTTCTACGTATCGACAAGTCACTGATGGACGTGTGGTTAGTTCGTTGGCGGTCACCAAATACGTCGCAGTGAGCGTCTGAGCCTCCTGCAGTAAGGTCCCGTAGGTTTATTTCTTCCAGAGAAATTTCTAAACACAGAATTCCTATTTCTAATGTCTCATGCCAAAGTTCTTCCAAGAAGACTGCCTGGCCGCGGAGTGTAAGGTGTGTTCAGGGCTGGTGTCATCTCTTTGTGGACCTCTAACTAGGATGAGGCCAGAGTCGGGGGTGGGGGCAGGGGTGAGTCCTCAGGACTCAGCCAGATCGGGATTCCATCTCAGCCCAGCCGCCAAATCACTGTGGGCCTTCGTGGGAGTCAGGACTCTGAGACTCAGTTTCCTCAGTCTCAGTGTTGAGGACTGAATGAGAACTCCGGGAGGTTGTTATCAGCCCTAGAAGATGCTAAAGTGCTGAGCGAATGAATACTAGCTCTCATTGTGATGAAACCCCCCAGGCTTATAGGAAATGAGATCCAATGTAGAGATGACCACACACACATATACACACATATAACTTTTCTACATATAAAATAAAATGCCGATATAAAATAAGTCAGTTGCCGTCCCTGACTATCTGGAGGGAAGAATTTGTCACAGTGGTCCGTCCAAGTGGGCGGCTCCTTGTCAGTGTTCAGAAATCTACAAGGTGAACTGGGTGTGCACCGCACAGTCCACAAGAAGGCACAAGCAGTGACAGGGTTGTGTGCTCAGACAATCATGCCTGTGGCTTCCCAGCCACACGTCCACAGCAGCTGTGAGGCGGGGCTGACCTGATGGGCTTCCTGGCTAATTCAGCTCATCCTGATAGGGCCCCGACTCCTCCTGAGTGCTATGACCCACGGATCCGGATCTCCCAGACTGGCCTGAGCCCAGACCTGAGCGCTGCAGATCGTTGTGGATCTACTTGCTTGGTTGTGTTGTGTGTGTCCTTCCCCTGGTCGTGTGACCTCTGCCTCTCCTGTTTGTGAAAAACAAAACTGTGCTGCTCCCAGGCAGCAAACATAGTTTTAGGGCAGTTCTTCCCAGGAATCCTTCTTTTCAAAACTGCTTTCTACTTTTTTGAACCTGCTTAGTTTTTACTGATTAGGAGCGTATTGTAGCTATTAGCATGGAAGGGCGATGCACTGATTTCGGGGAGGCTGTGCACCCTGGACGGCGTTTCTGCAGAGACTCAGGCATACTTACAATTTGGGGAAGGTGTGGAACTGCCCTCTCATTCAGTGCTTCTGTGTTCTGTTTCCTAAGGAGAAAGATGAAGGCTCGCGCTCCTCCGCCCCCAGGAAACCCCCTCCCCCTGAATGCTCACTGTGAACAGAAGCCTCTTCGCGACACGGCCCTAGGCCCACAGCAGAACCTGGTGCACATGAAGGAGGCGCTGCGGAACAGCACCGTGGACGTCACTGTGGTTCTGCCCAGTGGGCTGGAGAAGAAGAGCGTGGTCAACGGGAGGTAAGTGTCTGGGGCTGCGGGAGGAGTTGCCGTGCTCCCATTCATGGGAAAAAGCAGTGAAGGTTACATCCTCCTGTGATGGTCTGACCCAGGGCCTCTTGGACATAAACCTAGGCCTCGGTCAACCTCACCTATCTCACCTCCAATGGGCTCATACTACCTGGCCAGCCAGGGCTCACCCTCTTCTTCAGGGCTCAGAAAGAAGGGCAAGTTCGGGGCCCCATACACCCCTCCCAGGTGACTGACACCCTCAGGGTCAACTAGTGGCCAGTCTGCTGCCAACCTTCTGGTCCCTAAGGTGCACAGCCGAGGGGGCAGCCTCCTCACTTAATCATGCAGGGGTCTCTCACAAGCTGACCTGCACAGGTAAACATTCTCTGTAGCCAGCTTTTCAAAATGCAAACAGTGAAGCTTAGATGAAGGCATACAATTTGACCTGTGCTTTTCAAATTTAAGGGAGGTGATTTCCAGGCCTTCCATTCCCACACTTTCTCTCCTTAGAGCGGACCTGCCTGCGAACGTGTCTGTGTTCGAGTGTCCCATGCCACATCACAGACGCTCTGGCTGGAGCATTGCTCAAGTCTCCTTAGTCGGAAGAATTTTCTTAAACACAGAATTTGAAATTTTATGCTTGATCCTTATCAAAACGTGTCACAGCTGATCAATTGTGTATTGATCCCGTTTTGAGCATCCCAAATATCTGAAATCCAAAATGCTCCAAAATTGGAATCTTTTTGAGTGCCAATAAGAATTCACAAGTGGAAAATTCCACACCTAATGGCACTTGAAGGGTTGTAGTGCCATTTAATATTGTCTAAACTTGGGGCCAGGAGGCGGTATGGTGGTTAAAGGCGCTAGACTCCCACATGGTTGACCGTGGCTAGAGTCCTGGACCTGACAGTTTGTTCTGTCTCTCTCTGGTCAAAATAGAAAAATAATACTAATAAGCAAATAACTCTTTAAAAAACAATAGTTATATTGTCTAAACTTATCTTCTGCTACCTGTGTATGAAATATAAATGAATTCTGCGTTTAGACTTGGGTCCTGTCCACAAGATAACTCAGCAAATATTCTAAAATTCCCAATCAAGAGGACCAGCAGATGGCTTAATAGTTACGTTGCTGGACTCCCATGTAATTGATTGCAGTTCAAGCCCTGGACCCGGCGGCTTAAAACTCACAGTGGGGAGGGGGGGCGGGGGTTGCTCACTTTCTGTCTCTTGGGCTCATGCATGCATGTGCGCCATCCAGCCAGAGAGCTCAAGCATAGTCAGAGGCCTACCTTGGGTCAGTGTGGGAGGTGCCGAACTTGGAGCCTCGGCCCCCAACAGCCAGACTCTCTGTCCAGACCTCTAGACTCAGCTCCCAGGACTCAGATGAGACAGACAAGAGTTTCCATAGACCTCTTCATTTTTAGTAGTAGTTGTCATCCTAAGTGCACTTTTCCATGGACCTTTATAGCTTAAAAAGTGTGTCTGTTATTCTAGTTTTAAAAACCACTTGAGTAAATGTGTGAAAGTTCATCTTTGAATGCATTACAATTTATTCATAATTCTTATATTTTTGGTCTAATTTCTGGTTATATATTTATTAAAAAAATGGCATCATGGGTCACATTTTAACCCTGTAACACATGGATATAGTTTTTCAAATGAATGGGTAGAGAGAGAATCCCTGCCTGTGAAGTAAAAATATTATTGTTACTCGGTTATGAGAGAGATGTACATTTTTAAAAATGTTTTAAATTGCTGAGTGTGCATGTGCCTACCAGGGAGAGAGAAAGAGTTAGAAAACAAAAGAGAGAAAGCACCACACAATGAGGTATGGCCACGTCACAATCCCTTCTCTGATTCTCCATCCTGTTGGGATTTAGGGCCCACACAGACCTCTGCTTGGTGTCTTTTTTCAAGCCACTCGGGCTGGGATTTGAACCGTGGTTGGCTATGTGGGATGTGGCTCCCTTAACCACTCGATTATAAGGCCAGCCTAAGGCATTTTTGACAGGATTTCCCTGTGTCTCAGTCCTCCTAGTTTAGCTTGGACCACAGCCACACGCTACTGTACCTCGTCTGTTTAGGTTGGGCTCAGAATCGAGCCCAGCCTCCCATGCAGTGTCAGCCACCATGCAGAGATGCTTTCTTGCTTGTGCCACTGTGGCTGATCCCATAAAAATGTTATTTTGTAAAATGTTTTCAAACTGAATACATTCTTCTGATTGTATCTTTAGTTTCTTTGTACTCCCTTGTAAAGTAGAAGCTACCACCATGCTATATAGTACTGCAGCCAGATTTACCCTTAGAGGCTGAACATTAATTTCCTAAGTGTTACATTATCTCCTTTCTCCAGAGTTTTCCATAGGATCTGGAATCAGACTGGCAGCCCACAAGCTGTCTTCACTGGGTGGCTGATCTAATAGCCATCATGGGGGCAGCAGCTTCTCTCTGGGTGCTGGTCTTATGTGGTATGCTCTTTGATAATACAAGAGGTCAGAGTCTTGACCATTGCTTAAAATAAAAGGAGACTTTCAATAGGTTGTAGGAGAAAATGGAATTCAAATACAAGTTTAATTTCGTGCAAAAAAAAAAAATCTCCAGAGACATGCATATTGTTTTATAAAAAGATTTTTAGTTTTTTTTTTGCTATAGGGTGTATGGGCTCACCAGAGAGCAATAGAGAGAAGGAAAGTGAGAAATCACTCCGCAAGGGGGATGGTCACACTGCAACCCCCTTCTCTGTTCTGCTCCCAGGATTTTGGGCATCACAAACAACACGCCTGGCAGATTTTCAAGCTGCCAGGTTTGGGACTTGGACCATGATCGGCCATGTGGGAGTCCAGTGCCTTAATCTCTATGGCTGCTGCTGGGCCCTGCTTATTATCTTCTCAATAATACATATTTTGCATGAGGTTTTGAACATGCCTTGTAGATCTGATCATTTTTGTCAAAGCAGTTTCTTTCTGTTTTGAACAAGTGGATTTAGTGGAATACATCTTCCATACCTTTTCATGAGCAAGCAGTACAGACCACTCAGGACATGAAGTACTATTTTAGGTCTAGGTAGGTCATGAGAAAACTGGTGCTTACATATATTAATTTCCCTCAAACATAGGGAAATATATTTTATATCACCTTGGTGACGCAGGTGGCTGTGTGCTGAACTGTGAAGCTAGAAGCCACGTGGTGACTGTGGTTTGAATCTCTGCCCTGGTCAGCCTGAAATATGCCAGGCTCAAGTGCAAGTGCCTAGGATAAGCAAGCAGCTTAGAATTCATAGTGAATCCCTGAAACTATGTTATTTCTGACATTATAGATGCTCAAAAGGGAAATGCTTTAAGAATTGGAGTCTTAGACCCCATCCTGCTAAGCCCAGTGTTTTGTGCACATGTGTGCTTTCAAGTGTGTGTGTATTTGTGTATGTGTGTATATGTGGACACATGCACATGTTTTAAGCTTCCCTTAACTTTAGAAATATAAATAAAAGTCTAACTGCGTTTTCAGAATTCAAAATGTGAGAATGGTGTTCTGGGCTCATGTGTTTGCCTGGGAGAGAGGCAGAGGGAGGAAAAGTGATAAATCACCCCCGGGGGACAGCCACACCACACTCCCTGCTCCTCCAGTCTTCTCTTGGGATGTAGGGCGTACACACATGTGCCCAGTGTGATTTTTAAGCCACTGGATCTAGGACTCGAACCACGGATAACCATGTGGGAGTCCAGTATCTTAACCATTGTGTCACCTGCTGGCCCCCTGAGGTATTCTTAAGGAAAATGCTAAGGGTGCTTTTAGGAACAGGGTAGCCAGCGCCCCACACACTGCTGACAGAAAGCCATCAACCCCTTCACTTTAACTGGAATGTGAGTAGAGAGGAGATCTGTGAAGAGTTCATACTGCCAGCCAGAAAGGATCTTCATAACAGGATGTGAAGCATTTCGAGTGGTAGGGCTCTGCCAGTTTAAAGTGGTCAGTTGGCCCTGGCCACATGGGTACGATACCCAAGGACTAGGTGAGGGAAACCATTCTCTTTGCAGAGTAGAGGAAATCTCCCCTGTATTCAGTCCTATGACTCTGCCTCTGTGGGCTATTGCACTCCCTTTACAACAGGTTCACATCTGTGCAGGGACTCCTAGGTCTTGGTCTTTAGAAAACAGCACAGGGCTCACAGCAGCAGGGAACGAGCCTGGAAGTGCCCTTCAGGGGGAAAGATGGACCCTCAGCCTGGTCTGTCCCACACAGCTCTCATGCTGGCAGCTCCTGAAGGGCCTATAGCCCTGCCTCACTCCCACTCTGAGGTCCTGGCCAGCAGCCAGAAAAGGAGGAGTTATTGGGTTGTCAGAAACGTCATATGACATACTATGCAAAAATGCATCATGACTTTTCCAGCAACCCAGTAGAAAGGGCGGTTTGAATGCCACGTGTGGTCAGTTGACTGGAGTAGGCATTCTCTCACGGGCCACCTCTCCAGACCACTCCAAGACGTTCTGCCTCACTGAAGCTTTGTTCATCTCAGAAGCAAGAGAAGTTGGAACAGACAAACAACAAAAACCCAAAACCCAAATCTTTGTGATTTGCAGAATGAGCTCATAGGCATCTAGTTACTAGTCTGTCTGCTTTGTGAGAAAATTTCTGGTGAGGAAGTAACAGGTTCTGGCTGTAAATTAGAAACTGCTTGCTTATCTGAGGGAAAAGTGGACTTCCCCCCCCCCTTTTAATTAGCCAGAGGGTGTATGATCCAACCAAGAGAGAAAAGGGAGAAAGCACCTCTTAATGGGGCGTAGTCACACTGCAATCCCTGCTCCTCCATTTCTGTGTCCTGTCAGGATTTGGGACACACATCACACATGCCTGGCATGTTTTTCAAGCCGTAAGGGCCAGGATTCAAAGCATGTGGTCAGCCATGTGGGCTTTGGCTCCCTTACCCACTAGGCCGTAGGGATGGCCCACAGCTATTTGTTTTATTTTGTTTTGACATTTTTGCTACAGGGTTTGTGTGCTTGCCAGAGA